TGCGGCCGCAGCCCTTCCTGGGCGGCTTCTCAGGCCCTGTCTAGACCGGGGACCCGCGCTCCTCCTTGGAACTGAAGTATTTACTGGGCGTGCAGCGCCTCTGCGTGGGTCAGCTCCCGGGTGGCCCGTGCTGGTTTAACCTGAGCTGATTAGGAGTCAGGTGAAGGTTTCAACCTGTGGGTGGTGGACCCCTGAGGGTCTGCGGACTATGACTACCAAAGGCTGTCCTTACCAGTGGTTTTCAATCTGTGGGGGGGTGGACCCCAGGGGGTCCACAGACTATGTCTAAAATGTCCAAAGGGCACTGCACCTCCATTTGAAGTTTTGTAGGGGTCTGCAAATGAAAAAAGGTTGAAAACCCCTGGTTTAGAGTGACTACGCTATAGCGCCACAGCGACGGTGCTGGGGAGGCCACTTGTCTGATTTTATACAGGACAGTTCCCTTTTCAGGTGGTTGGCCCCCTATCCACTACTGGGACAAAACTGGACAGGGCTTTGTCCCTATCCGTTGGGGGAATGGCGTTTTGAACAGTACTTCGTCCCCACTGACCTGACCTTATATGCGTTCTGCTTCCAAGGTCAGATAGGTCCGGCTGGCAGGGCCAAGGTCACACAGGCAGGCGCACTCGCGCTGTTCCTGGAAGTGCTGAAGTGTCCAGTATTCTGGGAACATGTGAGTGGCTACCCTGTACTGTGCTGTATCTATCCTGCTGCAGCACCATAGCATAGATACTTCCTACATCAATGGAAGGGTTTTTCCATCAATCTAGTTAATCCACCTCTCCCAGAGGCACTAAGTGGGTCTCTGGAAGAATTCTTCCCTCCTTCTAGCTGTGTCTGTGGGGGAACTTAAGTCAACCTAATGACGTTGTACAGCGCATGACATTTTTCACAACCCTAAGCGAAGTAGCTAGGTTGATCTCATTTTTAGGTGTAGGCCAGGCCTAAAGAGGCTACCCTTAAAGTGACATAAGAGGGTCTGTGCAGATTTTTGCACTCATTTAAACCAACAGCTTTAATCAAATCAGTGCAACAGAAGTATGAAACTTGGGACAGTACTTGGTTGGGCAAGGCTGCTGGAAGCCTGTGCAATTTGAATGAGGGACACTTTAAAGAAAAAAAAAAGGGAGATTTAAAATGTTTGTAAATAGCCAAATTCTTCTAGAAACAGATCTTTGAAGTGAATAGACAGGAGGGACTCTCCCAAAGCAGGGAGACTTGACAGGACTGGGAGTATTTGAGGTGACCAAGTCATTTATACTCTCTGTGTTTAACATTAAACTACATGCACCTCTCCCATGCTTTAGATATACATAACTCTAAATTGGCAGTATTAATTTATTTAGTTTCCAGTGATGGACTGCCCATTCTATTCCACTAAATGCCCCCTAACAAACATAAATAGAATAATAAATTTGGCGTATTCCGTGGCTGCATTAATGGTGTGATTCTACAAAGATTGAAGTTTGTGAATAACTTTACTCCTGTGAGCAGTTGCATTGCATGCATTGGACTACTTACAAGAGTGTGCTTAGATCTTTGCAGAATTGGGCCCTAAATCCTTGTGAACTTTGTAGCTGTTGTAAGTAGTAATTTGCTGGCAATATTGTTGCCTAAAAATGAAATGACAATACTCTCATCTACCATATAAGTGTAATTTCAATGGATTTTAATGAGAAGTTGCAGTATGTACATATTTAGCATATATGCTTCTTGTTGTGTGCTGTAAATTATACATGATAAAGCATGCTCTTGGTTTCTGTGCTTTCAGTGTGTAAGATAAAGTATGCCCAAGATAACATTAAATGGCATCGCAGTGGACTTTCCTTTTCAACCATACAGATGTCAGGAGGAATACATGATTAAAGTGCTTGAGTGCCTCCAGAAGGTAAGCACTGGGAGAGGTTACAGTAAATTTCCAGCACTGGTCAGGCGGACTCCTTTGGCATCCATTCGTGTTGGGGAATGGGTGGGAAGGGCGATTTAGGATTTGGAGTGTCAGTGTTTCCAAAATAACTCCTTCTACCTACAATGCAGATTTTACTGTGTCAAGTGACAGGGTTTTACCTGTGATCAGGTTGAATTATAATCATGTTTCAGAGTCTGCTCTTTATAGGGCTTTGGCCCAGGGTTCTATTTTGTGTTTACAACACAATTTGATTCTGTCCACAAGCAGTACCAGGCCATGATATAACTCGGTATCTCAAGAGGGTGAAATTTATAATGTAGATATTTATTTTTTGGCAGGGGTGGGGAGGAAAGAGGTTCATAACTGTTAGGATTTCTCTGCCATAGGGGGCCAGGTCCGAGCCGAAGAGCAAGCCCTTTTATTTATTTAAAAAAATAAAGTTTGGTTGTTTTAAGTGAAACGAACATGAAAATAAATCGACTAGCGTATCAGATGTTTTGAAGGTATTGTAACATTTAAAGGCTGTTTGTGTAGCATGGCGGGTAAATGGTTTTTGTAATGTGAAAAAAATATTTAAAATGGTTTTTAAGAAAGAGGCTGTGCAGTAACCTTTTCCCTGGTGATTTACTGTGGAATTTTAATTCTTGTCTTTATCAGAAATCACAGTTTGTAGAAGCTAGAATGCAGTTAATGTAAAAGGTTATCTGTAGGGCCCTACCAATTTCATGGCCATGAAAAACATGTCGCAGACCACGAAATAAGCCCTCTCCTGTGAAATTTCAACTCCCTGAAATCAGCCGGGCTGGGGAGGGACTGGACCTGCCCTTTCCCTGCACGGCTGTTATGGGGAGAGATCAGACCCACCTCCACAGGCAGCACAGAAGTGAGGGTGATACACCCTCACTTCTGCGCTGCAGCAGCTCCAGAGCTGGACTCCGGACTCCTGGCCCCCACGGCTCTTGCCCGGGCTCAGGGCGCCTGAGCTCTGGGGCTTCCGCTCCCTCTCCCCCATGGGTCCTGCCCAGGGTGCTGCCTCTCTCCCCCTGCAGCTTCAACCTGGGATCAGGAATCTGGGTTGGGTGCTGTCACCCCCCACCCCCGCAGCTCCAGCTCCTGCCCTCATCCCCTGTGGCTTGGGACTGCTTCTCTGCCCTCCCCCCCAACCTATGGGCCCATGCATTAATCCACCACTGGCTCTATCTGGGGTGCTCCCAGCAACACTGGGGAGATCGGACCTACCTCCACCTCTGGGAACCTTCTCTAGCTGCAGGAAACTGCAGCTGCTGCTTTCAGAGCTGGGGTCTGAAGGTAGCATGGAAGTGAGTATGGCAATCCTGTAACCCCCCCCTTCAAGAGCTTTAGAACTCCCGCCCCCCCCCCCAGTTACAACACCTGAAATTTCAGATGTAAACATCTGAAATCGTGAAATTGACCAATTTTAAGACCTTCCCATGGCTGTGAAATTGACTAAAGTGAATTGTTAATTTGGTAGGGCCCTAGTTATCTGGTTTGCAAACTGCGAAAGGAGACTCTCACAATTTAAACTACTAATGAAAAAAATTAGCTAGTTTTTCTCCTTTCTTGTCCATATACTCTCTGCTTTCCACTCACGAGACTTTATTTTTAATTGTACATATTTTTTAGCATGCAATTAAAAAAAAAACAATGCCAGAAATGTTATAGCGTTAAATCTTTTGGCAGAAATGTAGGTAGGTTTTTTCTTCCCTCTCTCCGAAACTTGGAAAAAGAAAACTAAATAAGTAGTCCTTATGTTCATGCAATCTGTCCTTAATTTAAAAAAATGATGGTGTACTTATGGTATTATCTACTTGGCATTTCTGCAATATAGTCTAAGTGAATGTCAAACAAATAAGAAAACACTTTCCAAAATACTGATTCTTTGCCTGGAGTGCCTAAAGTAGTTTTTCTGAGATTCGTGTTCTTTGTTCCACCCTATCCAAGACCTGAGCTCTTTTGTGGAAGAAGAGAAGTTTTACTCTCCATGACACTCCAGAATTCAGCCTCACCATAGCTGCAATATTAGTTGCTCAGTAGACCCCCACTGATGTTGGGATGTAAAAGCAGATATCATTTTCAACCTGTTTTATGAATGGCCTTTCTTAATAGTGTTTAGACATAATTTGCCCTGGTCAATGCATAACCCAGGCATAAAAGTTTTAAAACAAATTGCATTCTATAATGTCTGGTCTACAGACATAAGATATTTAAAAACAGGTCATGGGCACAGTTCTATCCCTGGTGTAAACCATCTATACTGCGTGATTCAATCTTGTGATGTGGAGTGTATGTTTAAACTACTAACTTGCTTAGCAAATCAGTCACCATCAACAGTTTTATAATCATTTCCAATTTTAGCCTAAGGCAGCAGCTTATAATTTCCTTTATTTTAACCTAAAATTTGTCATGTGTTAAGCAAAGTATGGAGAATTTCTGTGCTAATTAAAGGATAAAATAGTCCATGAATCTGTGTTTTAGGTTGAAGTAGTGGTTTTTTGAAGAAGTGGTTTTTTACCCACAAAGTGGATCTGAAGAAGTGTTTTTTTCTTTTTTTACCCACGAAAGCTTATGCCCAAATAAATCTGTTAATCTTTAAAGTGCCATCGGACTCCTCGTTGTTTTTGTGGATACAGACTAACACAGCTACCCCTCTGATACTTGACTGGGTTAAAGGCTCTTACAGGTTGTACCTCTATGTGGCAGCTTTTACAGGTTTATAAGCATGTACATATGTGTTTCTAGTGGAAGGTATATCATGCTACATAAATCTGTACAGTGATGTGATTATTCTTTTCCTGGGAAAATACTGTACTATAAGGTGATCAATGCTAGGCAAATTTCTGAGTTGTCCCCAAATTTTCCTCCCTTCTCCCCCAACATTAAGAAGGTGAATGGCATTTTGGAGAGTCCCACGGGTACAGGGAAGACCCTGTGCCTCCTCTGTACCACTCTGGCTTGGCAGGAGCATTTTAAAGATACCATCTCGGCACGGAAAATCGCACAGCGAATGAATGGAGTGGAACTCTTTCCTGACAGACCCATGTCGTCCTGGGGTGATGCTGAAATCCCAGGTAAATGTCCCAGCAAGCAGGCTTTGACTGTTACACTTGGTTGGGAACCTTGCAGGAATTAAAGGGGATGATTAGTATTTCTTTTATCCTTGTCATGTACCTGTGAATGTCAGAATGGTATTATTTAGCAGCTAAAGCATTATTTCACACTTACCTTTTACTGATGTAAATCTAAAGATGTCTCACTTAACCTTTCTCCTTGCTACAGGGCAGTAAAAATATCCACTTAGCTCATTTCCTGTAGGTGAATAGTTGGATTGTAAAATTCCTTGCTGTCTCCATAAGCCACACTGTTACCATAGCACCAGCTGGGGAAAGCAGGCTAATGATATCTTTAGCTCTTCCTTCTGTTTAGCGCTAATAATTTTTTTCTTTTTTTCTCCCTTTGGCAGCTTATTACACTGATGTTCCTAAAATAATTTATGCCTCCAGAACCCATTCTCAGCTTACTCAGGTCATCAGTGAGTTAAAGAGTACTGTCTACAGGTAAATACACATTAAGAAAATGCTTTTCAGTCAGAGTAAAAGGGTAGAAACCCAGTCATTTCAAGGATTATTTGAATTGTGTTGAGATGACTACATATCTGATGATGTATCCCTTGGAATGCAAGTCTCATAATGCAGATGGATGGAAACTGAACTTCTCTGACTCACTGTGTAGCTTTTCCCCATGCTGAGGATTGTGTTTCCCATTCTTCTTCCTTTTTTCGCTCCTATCCCAAAGTTTCCTGTATATAATCCCCTTTACTTCAAAAGTTCCTTTGAAAAAGTGTGGTTTTCCAGTCAAGCCTGTAAATTTTTTTGTGTATGAAAAGAAATGTGCTTCCTATTTTTCTTCAGGGAGAGATGGATTTTTCAGTTTATCTGGGTTAATAGAATATTTTGCTTGTATTCCTGCCAATGGTGCTGTTTCATGTAGCTCCATGGTTCTGTTTTTTGTAATTTTTCAGTTAGTAGTCATTTGCGTATCTGTATATCTTTTCAATTAACAAAGCTATTTTGAATGCTTGCCTTCAGCCACAACTTCTGCAGTAAATTATCATTAATCCAATCTCCCTGCTATCTCAAAAATAGATTCTGGTGTGAGTGGGTTCTTTTTTAGGTCTGTGGTAATTAGGTGCGGTATTATAACGGGATCTAGATTTTATGGGGGTGCTTTTTGAGAGAGTTGACTAAAGCTGCTATTGATTACTCCCTACCCCCATCAAAATAATTTCATTAATGCATATTTAAGATTGAGAATTTATTGCTGCTACAAAAAAAAAATTGTGATGTTATAGATGAGAAATGTAGCTGTTGAAAAGCCTTGAGATTCCCAAATTTCTAACACCCACTTTTATTCTTCCCAGCCAGCTTTCACATTTGAAATACTTGACTCAAGCTAGCAACATATGTGTTCAAAAGTCTGTTTTTTCTCTCTCTTGTCCCCTCCTCCTTTTTTTAATATCAACTATTTATGTGTTTTGTTTAAATAGGCCAAAGATGTGTGTTTTGGGCTCCAGAGAGCAGCTTTGTATTAACCCTGAAGTTAAGAGACAGGAAAGTAACCACATGCAGGTAAGAACGCAACAGTGAAATTGTGCACAGCTCATATATGTAAGTGACCGTATCTTGGCTTTAAGGCATGTAACTGCTAACGCTGAAGTTCGTTACAATCCTTGGCGAAACTCAGAGGTATTAGTTGACCGTACAGTTGGAGTGCTATAGAAAGTTTGCGTTCTTGTCCTGCTCTGTTAGTGAAGAATTAAGTTCTGGGATTTACCTTTCCAAGAGGGGTTGTGATGGGTGAGAGCATGTGAATTAGTTTTCTGCATTCAACTTCCAGTCCTGCCACTTGCTTGCCAAGTGACCCAGGGCAAGTCGTTTAAAATGACACCATCAATTTAAAAATCATGCTCCTGATGGAAAATGTTTTACCTACTGTTGTTACATGTAATGTTAAGGACTACCATAGCTGAAAAAAGACTAATGGGGGAAAATAACTGAGTAGTCTGTCACTTTCCCCCTGTTTGTTTGGGTGTTTTACATACCAATGGGGAAGGGAAGAACACGGAGAGGAAAATCTGATTGTAAAACTGCAAACTTTGGCCCAGGGATTTGTGGGCAGGTGTAGGCCCTGCAATGATATTTGATTCTTTCCCTGAAATTGACTAAATTTCAAATGGCTGGTGTCCCTTTTCTCTCTGCCTTAGTTTCCTTATTTTTAAATTGGGTTCAATACTACTTCCCTTACATGGCCTAATGTATGTAAGGCACTTAAGTCTTTATATGAAAGGTGCCATAGAAATTCAACATATTGGTGATGCTCAGAGGGTTTTTTCCCCTTCTTCTTTGGCAGGAAAACTTGTTGTTAGCCCCCTATTTGATTCTCATTGTTGATGATCTGGTATGCATTGCTTCTAGCTTGGTGCTCAAAGGGCATGCTGCATTTCTGCAGGCCCCCTTGGTAGCTGAATAAAGAGGCAGTATTAGATGGGTCTCAGAGGGAGGTTTGGCTTCTTCTTCGGGCAGGTGGATGCCCCTGGGGAGGGGACCTATCTGTGGGAAGTATGGAGGCGTAATGATGGATGTACAAGAAAAATCCTAGGAGATGGAGAAATTTAGGAACAAATGGCAGCCTCATTATGAAGGAGCCCAGTGAAGCCACATGTTTCGTAGGCTGTGGATTATAACCTGATCCTCCATTGTGCTTGGTTAAATTAAAATTTAAATAAAATAAATAAATAAATGGTTGGGGTAGATGCTGCACCGTGATCAAGATCTGCAGAAAATGTGAGAAGAAAAGGGATTGGTTTTTTAGAGAAACCTTTCCCCATTCCTTATTATGCTGAGCTGGTGTCACTGAATATGTTCATTTACCCTGCCCCTCCCTCCACAGCCTTGGGCCAGCTGTGCCTTTGTCCCTGAAATGTGCTTTGTCTTGCAGATCCACATGTGCCGAATGAAAGTGATGGCTCGTACTTGCCATTTCTATAACAATGTGGAGGGTAAGTTTGGCTGTGGAGGCAATGCCCTGGTTCTGGGCAGAGAGATACCTGGCAGGTGGATGGGGAAGTTGAAAAGGAATGAGAGAACCCATCGGCAACTGAATGTATGCATGTACATTTACTTTTAATAGGTTTTTAAGCTAATGCTCAGGAAAGGTACAGGATTGATATCCCTGAAGGCTCGAAATCCTTTTAATTTGTCCACAAAACAGAGCAAGAGCAGCAGCAGTGCAAATTATCCATATAATCCCGGCAATAGGCTTCACCCCTGAACTGGTGAGGCCCTTCTAGGAGTGAGAGGGTATTTCTTTCTACATGCCCATTCCGCTCTTGGCCTCTTTGCTGTGGCTGCTAGTAATTGAGCTAAATGAGAAAGTGGGTTTTGGGATTTGAATCAGATCACAAATTAATATCATGTTAGTCACCAAGCTACTGAACTGCAACTCAGCAGAGAACCAGCATGCTACATGTTACACAGTGTGAGGGAGCAGGGAGGAAGTAGCCAAGATGTGGGACGACAGACCCCTTGTCTTCAACTGCAGATGGTTTGAAACATGGTTGCAGAACCCCCGTTCAATAAACTGTATTGTGCTTATCGTATCTTCTGAAGGATGATGGGCTGGGATGACTGTGCTAGGGTTCAAACCTGTGGTTCTGTATATTTTAAGATGAAGCTTAGACCAGTAAACTGGCATCCTGAATTTTTACTAATATGCACACACACAAACAGTTCTTCAGCACAAGTTAAGGAAAGGATAGCAGTT